AGAGTTGAGTGCGTTTCAACAGGACTGGAGGAAGCATTTTTGTGAACAATCCTTCGGCGCTTCCGTGCTCAAGTATCTTGATGGTCACGGCCTGCATCTCCCATCCACGTCCTTGAGGGGACCCGTCTATGAATATATATATGTCCAGTGTGTCCCACCGTGCATCTTTGAAATACGCTTGATTGAGGCGCATGCAGGTCCAATCTAATCGAACTCGGGCTTGACGCAACGTGTCGTACCGAATTCCTCCCAGTTTGTGCTCAGTCTCATTGCGATTTCCATCAGTCACCCTCGAAATCAACTTGACCCATCTTTTAGCTGTCTTCTTAGTGTGTCTCAAAGCTCTTTGCGTCGCAGTCGCACCAATCCAATCGATAATGAGAGATGGCTCCATACCACGTCGCCGTCCGCTGCGGTCGTGCCTGCTCCGAGGCCGCACAGCAGGGACGGAGAAACCATGGCCACGTCTCCACGCATTCAAGACACGCCTCGACGGCCAATGTGTATTGTATTTGCGACAGCGTCTACCAAGCACTACGACATGAAATATTTTTTGAAGCAGTCCCATCAATCCTATTGCAAGAGCTGGACACAGATTGAACACGTCTCCGATTAGCAACATACCGTATTCAGCAGAAACTTGCCTCCAAATGTCGTCCCATGGTTTGGCTGGGGGATCTTCACCATGTATTTTTCTGAGCACGCATCTTTTGTCTTTGAGAATGTTCATTATCTGTTGTGTTGTTATGTCTTCGGGGCAAGCAATTGGAAGGACAAGTTCGATTGTTACTAAAGCTTCGTAAACTAATACACCACAGCATTCAACCCGATGTTTCTGCAAGGCCGATCCTACTATGTTGACCGTCATGTCTTCGTCCAATGATTCAGCTTCTCTCAGCGCAACCAATCTCCATCTGGCAATAGCAATTCCGAAAATTGTACATTGTCTATCAAATTCAGTCGGTTGGATTCTGAATTCCCTGGCCCACAAACCTGATCGGCTGCCAACAACAGGATATGCAACCAATGTTCCAAGTCTCGCGGGAATGTGGGCGTCCGCTGGGCCATGGCCCGCGATGTCGGCATGAATGTCTTGATCACCAGCTATATCTGATATGGCGTCTTGGCCGCCATCGTCTCCTGCCAACTCATCATCCATATGATGTCGAGCGTTGGTGTGACACCAAGCAGAAACTACAGTGAACGGAAAGCGAATCGTGTTTTCAAACACATGGGCCAACATGATTATGAGGTGGAGCAGGGGGAGCAGCAGAGGCAGAAGCAGCGTTGCGAGAGGATGACCTAAGTTCCCCAAAGACCTCACGACTGCTCCAAGACCACCCAAGATGGCTCCAATATGGTCCACGATGGCCCGAAGCTTGCCTCCAATTTGGGCCCGCGACACACCCAAGACGGCCCGCGATTGCCCCAAGACGTCCCCCGAATCCCTACGTGCACCCAAGACAATCCAAGACGGCCCCACGGCCCCATAAGGTTCTCAAGAGGCCCGCATAGCACATTATGCTTGATGTTTTGAGGCACAGAGCGCTGGGTACAGAATGCGCAAACAAGCAACGCGATGAAGCAAGCAAGGAACAGTTGGCAAAGGCGCATCAAACAAACAACTCTTATTAAGCAAGCGCAATCGCACACATCAACTAGCGGTACATTCGCCATACGTTGAGGCTGAGTTCTTATTGCGTATATATGTTTGCATCTACGGACCATGGCAATGTTCGTATCGCGGTTCGTGGTCGTTTCGACGCAAACATTTCGAAAACAAACAAGTTATATTTTAAACTCATAAATCGTTGTTTAAACTAACTCATTCTGGTTGTTTTGAAGTTGTTTTGGTTAGACTCCCCTCGGAGGGGAAGTGCGCTTAACCGGAGGCGCGGGCCTACCCAGGTGGACGCAGCCCTGTCTGCTCAACGGCTTCCTACTGCATGCTTCTACCTGCTTCTTCTGACCGAGGAGGAGGAGGAGGAGGAGGAGCAGGAGGAGGAGGAAGAGGAGGATTTGGAGTAGGAGGAGGAGAAGGAGGAGGACGAGGAGGACGAGGAGGACGAGGAGGAGGATGGGGAGAATCGGGAGGAGGAGGAAGAAAGAGGAGGAGGAGGAGGAGGAGGAGGGGGAGGAGGAAGAGGAGAAGGAAGAGGAGGAGGAGGAGGAGGAGGAGGGGGAGGAGGAGAAGGAGGAGGAGGAGCAGGAGGAGGAGTAGGAGGAGGAGCAGGAGGAGGAGGAGGAGGAAGGTGGAGGGGCCCCGCCCGACGCCGGAGGCGGAGTCGCCTTCGGCTTCGGCTCCTCCACGGGCAGCGGCGCCCCCGCGCCGGCAACGGGCGGCGGAGCTCCGGGGGGGGGAGCAGAACCTAGGCTTTGAGTTGGGCACGTCCCTTTACAGGAAGGATGTTCAAAAATAGTCAAAACATAGTCTAGGTGGTTTTTATTATGTGCGATATGGTTTAACAATGCTTGAACTGTGTTTAAACTGTGGTTAGCTTTTCGCCCAGAATCCGTCTGTGGGAGGACACGCCCGACATAAAAAATCCGCCTGTAGGAGGACATGCCCGACCTAAAATTTGATTGTGCTGTGGAAGCAGTGAGTTTCGTCTAAGGTTCTTCCAGTCGGAATACACAACAACGCCATCAACATAAATTGTTGGCGCTCCGCGCGGATGTCTCGGATCCTCGCTGGGCCCCCCTGGCGGCGCCTCCCGCGCCTCCCTTTGCGCGCTCCGCGCGCCAAGGAGGAGGTCCGGCGCAGATCCAAGACATCCGCGCGGAGCGCCAAACGTTTATGTGAATGCAGTGGTTGTTTCTTGATATTCTTAGTAGTAGTAGTAGTAGAAGTGGTAGTAGTATTAGTAGTCGTAGTGGTAGTAGTAGTAGTAGTTAGTAGTAGTA